AGACCTATGCTAGAGACTGGAGCACATCCTCCATGCCCTCATCAACTGGGGTTTCATCGCGGACGGCATCGCAGAGAGTAAAGGCGGTCGGCAAGTCAAAGAGGCGAGCAACAAACAGCAGCAAGTGAAAGTCACTGAAACGTACCCAGTTCTCTCCGCTGCTGCTGCTGCTGCTGCTGCTGCTGCTGCTGCTGCTGCTGGTTGTTGAGCTGGGGGGGCGAGACATCGATGGGTGGTTGAAATACTCCTGTAATTGAAACAGCAAAAACAGCAGCAGAAGGAGCAGCAGCAGCAGCAGCAGCAGCAGCACAAACAGCAACAGCAACGGAGATTAGTGTGGCCGCCTTATGCTGCCGCAGCAGCAGCAAGATAGAGCAGCACCAGCTGCTGCTGCAGCAGCAGCACTAGCAGCAGAAGGAACAGGAGCACTAGCAGCAGCAGCAGCAGCAGGAGAACCAACAACAAAAGGAACAGCAACAGCACTCGCAGCAGCAGCGCATGCACCAGCAGCAGCAGCAGCAGCACTCGCAGCAGCAACCGCAGAAACACTCGCAGCAGCAGCAGCAGCAGCAGCAGCAGCAGCAACACCCTCAACAGCAGAAGCAGCAGCAACACTCGCAGCAGCAGCAACAGCAGCAGCACTCGCAGCAGCACTCGCAGCAGCAGCAGCAGCAGCAGCAGCAGCACTCGCAGCAGCACTCGCAGCAGCAGCAGCAGCAGCAGCAGCAGCAGCAGCAGCAGCAGCAGCAGCAGCTGACTCGAATGTCTTGGGGTGTCTGCGAGATGAATCTGTTTTCTCTCGGAAAGTGATTATGCCGAAACAAAGAACGAACCTATAACAAATAAATAAATAAATAAATAAAATAAATAAAAAATAAATAAAAAATAAATATAAATAAATATAAATAAATATAAATAAATATAAATAAATAAATATAAATAAATACATCAGATGAGGGGACAAAAAGGAGACAAAAAGGAGACAAAAGGAGACAAAAGGAGACAAAAGAAGAAACAAAAAGGAGACAGAAGAAGAAACAAAAAGAAAACAAAAAGAAAACAAAAAGGAGACAAAAGGAGACAAAAAGGAGACAAAAGGAGACAGTTTGTGGGGTGTGTAGCGGACTGTCTTGGGGGCGGATTCGTTTACGCGGACGATCCCCCAGTGAGCGTCAAACCGATCCCGCTCAACACCACCCTCCAGCAGCTGCGGCCGCAGCTCCCCCTGCAGCACCAGCACCAGCAGCAGCAGCAGCAGCAGCAGCAGCAGCAGCAGCAGCAGCAGAAGGAGTAGGAGTAGGGGTGGGAGTGGTAGGGGTAGGTGAGGAGAAGCAGCAGAAGGAGGGGGAGGGATAGCAGCAGCAGCAGCAGCAGGGTAGCAGCAGAAACAGCAGCTGTTGCTGCAGTATGTGCTGCTGTTGCTGCTGTTGCTGCTGCTGCTGCAGAAGCTACATGAATAGCAGCTGTTGCAGCAGATACAGCAACAGCAGCAGCAACTCCAGCAGCAGCAGCAGCAGCGACAGCAGCTCAACAGCAGCAGCAACTGCAACAGCAACAGCAGCAGCAGCGCCACCACCACCACCAACAGCAGCAGCACCACCACCACCACCAACAGCAGCAGCAGCAGCAGCAGCAGCAG